ATTTATAGTTTTAAAGAATTATTTTTAACAAATATACCGTATGACTTAATTCAACATATATAGCCTAATCATTACTTTGGATTATAACTAAACTTATTATAAAATCAATTCTTAACTTATTTTTTTTTATTTACGTAGAAAGTAATTATACATGCTTAATTGGTATGCTAATTTTAGTCCATAATTGCATATACACATTTTTAAATATAAAGTACCCAGTTACGTGTAGCTTAGCCAAACTAGTTAATTCATGAATTAAATATAAGCATTACACGTTTTATCACACTTTACAAGTATGTCTACGTATGTTTAGCTAAGTCGGTTACTGTTAGTACTCCTAATAATTTCCATGAACCACAACTTTGATAAGTAATTAGTTATACTAAACTTTTAGGCTACACTTTTGACTGATATAAATCTAAACTGAATATACATGTTTATGTCACTTTATTTTTACCAGGATCTACTTGGAGATATCCACATGTAAAGTATATTTGTGTATACATATCTAAAATAAATCTTAATACTACATATATGTTAATCGTACCTATCATATATAGAAATACATACATACACATGCATACTTTATATTCCGTAATATGTAAAAAGTAAGCATTGCCTAAAATTATATGCTAGCACTACCTCTACATAATATATGTATGTTCGGTTTCTTTATACCTATGCATGTTTTTATACCACATTAATGTGTCAAAATACATTCTGGAAAATGTCCTTTAATGTTTAGGATTTATTTCCACTACTCTTAACTTCTATTCTATATCTTTAGTCGGTACAAAAGATAATATCATTACGTATGTGTTTATAAACGAGTACTAAATATGAATTGAGATACACATGGTTGGAGCATAAAAATATTTCTAAAATTATGCAATGTACATCATCCCCATATCATAACTGAAAACGGGGACGGAAATAATACTAAAATAAGAATATTAAAATACCCATTAACTAAAATGGGGGCGGAAACGTACTGACCTTATACACGAAATTTTAATGATTTTTTGGATCTGAAGCTATTTTTCTTCAGCTCGTTTCTACCTCTTCTGCTTGTTCAACCCTTCCTTAATAAATATTTTTAGGACTAATAATGGCTGGCCGTATGGTATATGTGTGATCCTTTGGGATAATTGAGGTCATCTATATATAGTGTGACATGGTCTTGCTAATTCACATATACGGAGTAGTAGATAGAATTTCTAGCAAACATAAGTATTGTCATAACTATTCCTTCAAAGATGATTAGGCTAGATGTCTTGTTTTAGTGTAAAAATATCTTATAAGAATAGACCTTTAATTGGCTGCCCATCCCTGATTAATTGAAGCTATCTGACTATTTTGATTTTTTTTAGATTTGTCTCAATTGCTATTTAGATTAGTCCAAAAAGTGCATTAATACTTGGGACACGTAATGTTTATCTCTATTACACCTTAAATGTCTTATTAGAAAATTACGCCAAAGAAGTGTACATGAGGATGTGAATTACTACGGTTTATGATTGACGTGTTTTTTTTTATATTATAAAATTATACTTTATAAATTATACGAAGTAGGAAATGTTTTTTTTTTTTTTAATTTTTAAATTTGATAGGATAATAATATCTAAAAATTTATTCATATGTGTCTTAACTATGAGACCACATTTTGGGGCGTTACAGTTATCCCCTGCAGATAGATAACCTTTATTGATTAACCGAACTTCATTCATTATTTGAACATCTAAATCGTCATTAATTGGCATTCACATTTATTGGCATCTCATTTCATTAATTGTTAAGGCGGTAAGCCCACTTCAATTTCTTATAATTCACTCCTTACCTGCATCTTTTTGAGTGGTTTTAAGCAGAATTAAAAATTGAACATTTATCCATATGAATACATTGCATCGTTACAAATGAAAGTAAAAAGATCGGAATCCCAAGGGCTAAGATAAATATTTCTTGAATTGGCCTAATTATGCGTCTCACTTTTTTATTGATTACTTTTACAAAGATATGCTGAATTGAGACTTACCATTTTTTTACCAACACCAAATGGGGCTTCTAACATAACAGTGAAATGACTTTAGGTTGATATAAAAGTATAAAACAATAAGGATTTGGTTGACATTGGTTTGATATAAAACACAAGGATCTAGCTCACAATTTAAACATTGGGTTGGAATGACATCGAATTCTTCTAGTCCATGTGATCCTCTCCTTGAACTCTGAACCTGAATGTCTGTACAAGAATTAAAAATGAACTCAAAATTGTAATGACTTATTTACATAATACAACATACTACCTCCGTCCCACTAACATTGGGACGGAAGAAAGTGACACGATTATTAAGAAAAGTGAGTTTATGTGGTTGATATTGAAAAAGTAAAAATAAAGTAAGAATGATTTAGAGCCACACAAACTTTACCAAGTTTGGTATGAGACAATCTTAGTGGGACTTCCCGAAAAGATAAAATGAGACAATCTAAGCGGGACAGAAGAAGTATAACATAAACTACAAAATATTGAAAACACAACTTATTAAAACCTGTTATGGCATGGAGAATCAGAGAGATGCCATGGTTGCTAATTTTTGCAACTTCCACTATAAGAAAATTTCTTACCTTATCTGAAGCAAGTTTGAAAACCTAAAAACATATTGCTGCTGTGAAATTAATAAAAATAGGAATAATTAAATGGAAAAGCTGAAGGGACAAAAAACTGATAAAACACCAACATCCAAAGCATTCTTGTACTGAATTTGCTTAAAAAACCAACATCCAAAATCTCAATAAACTGAATTATAAGAAAAGCAATTGTACAGTTTCAATATCAGTAACGCAGCCGAACCACCATACAGGACACAGAACGGTGGCCAAGTGCATTGGCAAATTCAATATTCATCTCCAAAAATCATCATACATCAACTTTCATATTTCTTGTTTTCTCTCATCCAGTTTGGAGATAAGAAAGTTAGTAACAAATTAATCAAGCCCTAAACAGTCTTGAGCAGGCTAGTCAAACCATGCACTCTCCTTAATTATCATTGGTAGGGATACATTTGTTCTACTCGCTAATCCAGAATCTAAAGTGACTACTCCACACTCATAACATAAATGGGTAAAAGGTTAAAATGTATCTCCAAATAGGTTTTCACCGATTCATTCTCTGAATCTGAGGCCAAAGCTGATATTCGTTCTCTGCTATGTAGTTAGTCCCCTGTTCGACGTTTTCTTCTCTTTTTCCTCCAGCTGCCTATATCTGTCACAGGTTTCAGCAAGGTAAATAACGAAGAGGCTAAGTAATTTGTAATAAACTAATAATACTAACCTACCTATCCCGAGTCTGCACCGATTGATAAGCCATTCTTTTTGCTCTTCCAAACCAGATTTCCTGTTGAAAACTTACGCAGTACTTAACAAAAAATACTTTCCATTATTCCAAACCAGATTTCCCGTTGAAAACTTACGGAGTACTTAACAAAAAATACTTTCCATTGTTCCAAACTAGATTTCCTGTTGAAAACTTACGGAGTACTTAACAAAAATACTTCCCAGATGAAAGCATACATGCTTGAAACCTAAATACCAATATACCATCATAACTGGAATTGAATATTCTCCAGAAAGGAGATTTGGCACCTGCACATAAAAGATGCTTATCAAAGGAGATTTGGTTCTAGAATTTCGTACATTATCAATATCAACTCGATCTATCTCTGAGCTCCCTAACTTGCTATTTCATAAACTGAGTTCATCTCCAAGCATAAGCCATAAAAGTTCACCATTGGCCACAAATCAATGATACAAGACGCACAATATAATGCTACAACACACTCCTTCATAATTCTGCAAATATACAAGCAATTGATTAACAATATATACTCTTCACTCTTGGCTTAGTATTTCTTTTGCCTTAGCAATGCTAACCTGATTGGATTACAGAAACATAACATAAAAGAGAAATTTATGGAGTACAGTTTTATGGAGAAGAAAAATTGTGTTTTTTCTTTTTTTGGTAATAGAACAAACATTGTTGGAGTTGATGGGTTTGGAATTAAGCAAACTACCGCACAGAGCAAGCCACCATCTGTGCTCAGTGTTTCAATCTACTCTTCACCTTAGCGGGATCTTCACCTTCACCATTCCAAAATCAAAACACACATTCACCTAAAATCAATTACAGTTGACACTATATTTGTATTAAAAAAGAGAGAGAAAGAAACAATCCATATTCGTTCTGCTTTAATTACCTAAATCAATGGCCAGAATCAGTGTAGGACTTCCAGAAAACGCCGCCATATCAAAATCTAAAGCCATAGTCGACATCGACTAAGATCCGGACAAGCACTCACTTTACCTCCTGTTGACGGCGCATAATAGATTCAGAGCAGGAAATGTCTTGGGAGAATGTGTTGGTTCATGAAATTGGCTGCTTTCATGTCTTTAGGGAAGCTACTGGTTTGCGGTTGAAGCCTGAAGTGGAAGGAAGTTACCATGGTTGAAAGATGAATACATGAACAATCAATCCATATGAAAATTACAACTTATGAATCAATACCATGAGATGAGATGATTATGGCAGAGTGATGCTCGTCACTGGACGCTGGTAACTTCGACTGATGCTCGTCGCTAGACGCAAGGTAGCTTCCGAACCTTAAATTCCGAAGCTGTAGAATTCGAAGAGCGCAAGAACATAGGTAGTTTTAAAAAGTAAATCCAAATACCATATTTTTATTTTTGATAAGATTAGAAATTTATGCAGCAGTCCCGAAAAGGAAACTACTAAACAGGTGTCCCAAAAAATGAACTTATTATTAGTCCGTTAAAGTTTACAGAGCCTGGACCAACGAGCACAAATGTCCTAGCACAAGAATAAACATCAGCCGTCCATTCTCGCGAGCCCCCATCCCCTTCACTCTGCAAGGTGTCATAAAGAATAAAGACAAAAAATAAAATATAGAAAAAATCCTCCTCGGTAGTGACAAACGGTGCCGTTTCAATGATCACGACATTGATACATCATGTGGATTCTCCATCTGTGATCAGAATATGAGAGCATAGGCAGTGGAAGTGATTCCCGCAAGCCTCTCTCGAATCAAGGATTCTTTACGTCTGGACACCCCTTTCTTTGCTCTCACTCTCTCCTCTTTCTCTGTGTAAACCCTTCATCCATGGGGGCTCTAAGAGCCTCAGGAATGTTCTTCTGCAAGCCGTCACCTATCTGCTCTGAAAGGACCGCTCTGCAGAAATGTAGTGTTTCTGAACAAGTGGGGTTTTCTTGTTTCTGGGCAGGTCAAAGAAGCATAAAAATCCGATCTTTGAAGGTTGGGAGGACATATGCTGCTATAAATGAGTCTCAAGAAGACGGGTCCTATATTACAGAAGAGAATGATACAAAAGAAGATGAGAAGGGCCTCATTTTGGACACACAGAGGGATGGGTCTGGCACCGTTATTGGGTTTCATTTGATTCCACAATCTGGTATGTGTATAACATCCCCCCATCCCCTCCTTTCAAGTCAAAGATGGAAAAAAAGCTAAAAATTCAATCTTTAAGCTTTTAATATGTGAAGAGTTGCCAATCTCATTTCTCCTCATTGAATCTGGTTTCTAATTAAGCTTTACTGCCAAGTTCTTGTTTACTTCAGCACTGTAGTATGTGGACATTTGATTTGTAACTTTGTCAAAGTGCTTCTGATAGATGATTTTTAGATTAATGGTTATAATCAGGATTGGTTTCTGGTTGGGTAAGTTCGCTGGAATTGGTTTGGAAGTAATTATTTTCCTAGACGCAACCCAAGTTGCTTTTATAAAGTAAATCATTATGATTTATGAAAGCAGCGGCAAAAAAAAGTTAAGCTGCTGAAAACTAACACTATCGGACTAACCACAAATATTCAACTTCTCAAAAGAATCTGAAACCTTATGAAACAAAGTTGTTCTAAAAAAGCATAACATTCCCAAAACATGATTCAATTCTCAAAATCCAGCTAAAATTTATAAAAAGTAGTAGCTTCCCAAACAAGCCCCAAGTGTCATTTATTTATCAGCTTAACAACTTGAAGTTTATAAAAGATGCTTCGTTATAATCAGTGACAGGTGATGAAAAAGTTCTGGAATCTCATGATGATGATGAATCCAGTGATGATATTGAAGTGACTGAACATGTAGAAAGTAAACCAAGAAAAGTGTACAGCATTGTTTTTGTTACTTCAGAAGCAGCCCCATATTCTAAAACAGGAGGATTGGGAGATGTTTGTGGGTCTCTCCCTATAACATTAGCTCGCCGTGGACATCGAGTCATGGTTGTTTCACCTAGATATTTTGATAGTCTCCCTTCTGATGAAAAATTTAAGAGTGTGGTTAACCTTCATAAGAAAATCAAGATCCATTGTGCTGAGGGTGAGCAAGAAGTGTCTTTCTTCCATCAGTATAGGGAAGGAGTTGACTGGGTAAGAAATTACACTTTCCATATCTGATTTGCTCATCACATTTATCCCACCGGTGGATCATTTGTTTCAATTTCATGTTTGGGGGAAATTAATAGACATGCTCACCCTCAATATAAATACATACATATATATATGTGTGTGTGTGTGTGTGTGTGTGTGTGTATTTCACCCTCAATATTTTTAACATTTTTTTTATCTATTTATTTCCATTATATAAACACTTAAGTATATGTGGAAATAAAACTAAAATCTAATCGTATTTTATATTCCGTTGCATTTTCAAGGCAAATCCAATCATAAGTAAACATCTTCCCTTGGCATCCCACAAACACCATATGGGGAGAAGTGCATGTTCATTGTGGATCATCTTGCAAACAATGAGTTATGCAGAATGCTTTTTAGATGTGTTTATTTGATTTCAGGTATTTGTGGACCATCCTTCTTACCACCGACCGGGGACACCATATGGTGACAGCCATGGTGCTTTTGGCGATAACCAGGTGTGTTTCATACGTATATATTTTAATCTATTTATTTGATGAAAAGTTTGAAGGTGTGCCTTTTTTGTCATAGTAATGGTTAATTCGGTCTAATTCTTTCCATTTTTTTTTCTGGTTAAACAGTTCCGGTTCACTTTGCTTTGTCACGCAGCATGTGAAGCTCCTTTAGTTCTTCCCTTGGGAGGGTACACTTATGGAGAGAAGTGCATGTTCATTGCTAATGATTGGCATGCTAGTCTGGTTCCTCTGTATGCCCGTTTATAACTACCCTTCTAATCATTTTCTAATCACTTGCTTTGGATTCTTGTTTTTCTTGGCTTTACGTACCTTCAATCTGTTAACAATGAAATGGACTATTTCCGGTTGAGCTTTAAACGCCATTGATCTTCTATTGTTTAGACTTTTGTCTGCCAAGTATCGCCCACATGGTGTTTATAAGGATGCTCGAAGCATTATTCTCATACATAACCTTGCTCATCAGGTAACTTTTGTAGTTTACAGTTCATCTTTTCCCCCTTATAATTCTACTCCCCAACATTAAGAGTTAAGACATTGAATTATTAAAACATGTTAGTAGTATGTGAATCTGAATCTTATGGCTTTGAACAGGGAGTGGAGCCTGCCGGAACATTCAAGAACTTGGGGTTACCCTCAGAATGGTATCCGGCGGTGGAATACATATTCCCAAATTGGGCACGGGCACATGCTCTTGACACAGGTGAAACTGTGAATGTTTTGAAAGGTGCAATCATTACGGCAGACCGCATAGTTACCGTTAGTGAGGTGAGCCTTTTTTGTTTTCCTATTTTTGTGATTGCATTATTCTATTGTTAACCGATAAGTTTTCTTTTTCTTGTTTTGTTCTTTAAGGCTGTTTTTCGGAATGTCGGGGTTTAATTATGAAGATACGAATAAAATAGAATTTGATTAATGTTGTTTAAAATTATACACTTATTGATATTATATTACTTTGTCTAGTAATAGAAATATAAAAATAAAATAAGTTTGAATAACCAAGCCAAATAAAATAAGTTTGAATACAACAACAACAACACTACCCCTGTATTAAAGCACAAAGAGTCTGTTTCCGAATGACCCATGATGAAAATCGCGTTGAAAAATATTCCATCATATTCGCAAGCCAAAAAATAGCTACTTTTTGGCTCCATTGGAAATGATAGAAAAAATAAAACAAGTGTGAATAAATAGATTAAATTAATTAAAACAACTGTGTTTTTAACCAGCTTTTACTTTTCACTAAATTTTCATTCCTTCTGAGTTTTGACTCTATTTTGTATCTCTTGAATTTCACTGGTTCCGAACAGACCTTTAGCAGGATAAGCAGCAGATTGTTAATTTCTTACAAACTATTCATATGACAATTCTTTATTTTGCTTTCTGGTTGCAGGGTTACTCTTGGGAAATAACAACTCCTGAAGGTGGATATGGGCTAGATGTACTATTGAGTAGCCGAAGGCCAGTTCTTAGTGGAATCACAAATGGAATTGATATCAATGAATGGGACCCATCTTCCGATGAGCATATCGCTGCTCATTACTCCGCAAATGATCTTTCGGGAAAGGTAGCATTGCCTGTTATAAGTTAGTCCGGAGACACACTTGAGGCTCTCTGAAAAAGGGGCAAAAGGGGCATCTGGAATAATGGGAATTACTTCATTTTACTCCTGTTGCATTACATTGCAGGTTCTTTGCAAAGCTGCATTGCAGAAGGAATTAGGTCTTCCTATTCGACCTGATTGCCCATTGGTGAGATGCCATACATGATTTTCAATTTAATAAGTTCCTGGACATTGTTTTAAATTTATATTGAATAAATTAGGTTGGATTCATTGGGAGGTTGGACTTCCAGAAAGGTGTGGATTTGATCCTTTCAGCAACTCCAGAACTCATGCAGGAGGATATCCAATTTGTAGGTGTTTATTTACTGTTGTCTTTTCTACGATTGACATATTTTTTATTTGTCTTGTTTTTATATATGTACACTCCCACAGTCCCACATATATATACTGACATAGTTTTGTTCCTTTGTTGGGGGGGGGGCCGTGGTGGTGTTATATCTTGATATTATTTTATATTCCTCTGTCCCAATTTAAGGTTCTCAGCCTTACGCCTTTATGATGACGATTGATTGATAATAAAAAACAAAGTTTAATCGATTTGAGTTAACTCTTCCCTTGATGATATTTAAATCAATTTAACAGCTAAAAGTTACATATTCTGAAGCTACACAGAAAATTCTATTGAACCGTAAAAACCAAATTGAAAAATATGATAAATAATTACTCCGTATAATACATACCTGATTAGGGTTTGGGGAACCTTAACATAGGATGTGTAGGATGTGGGAGTACTCATCTTAGGGGCAAACGGCAATTTTGGTTCCCTAAGTATAGGGGGTTGGCTAAACTATTCTGTTGGAATATGTTTTGGCAATTGAGACCCCTTGCAAAATTCGCTGAAAGTACCATTCAAATCAAGGACATGACCACTGTATTAAGTTTTAAAATACCAAAATGTATTTTTTTCACTTAAATAAAGACAATTAGCGCCTTTTTTCAAAACGTGCATATTTTGGATTTTTAAATGTAATAAAATTGCCTGGATCCCCAATCTGAACAGTACTTGATTGCAGATATTTCAGTTTGTTGACTTCATCACTAAATTATGGACATTATGAATGTAATACTTCCAAATTGCTGAACAACTCCGACTGGATTAGTTTTGCTTACTCTCTATAGTTAGACAACCAAAACTGCATTTTACCGCTTGTCCTTTGCAGACACCAGATGCATTTTCTGTTAATGATTTCTTGTGTATTTCCCACATAAATACAATGGTTCAATTTATTGCAGGTAATGCTTGGATCTGGTGAGAAACAATATGAGGAGTGGATGAGATATATGGAATCGCAATACAGAGACAAGTTCAGAGGATGGGTTGGATTCAATGTGCCAGTTTCACATAGGATAACAGCCGCGTAATGATAATTTTATAATAAACAATTACAGCGAAAGGGAAACATGTTTTCCATTGACTTAAAGATGATGTCTATTTATTTTCCAGGTGTGACATCCTATTGATGCCTTCAAGATTTGAACCTTGTGGCCTAAACCAGTTGTATGCCATGAGATATGGCACGGTTCCTGTTGTTCATAATACCGGGGGCTTAAGGGTGCGTTTCAGCGTTTGGGATTTTAAATATTGTAATTAACCTCTCAGTTAGTCTTTTTAATCACTAAACATCCCCTCTCTGTATTTCAGGATACCGTGGAAACGTTTAACCCGTATGCTAATGATGGCAGTGGTGCAGGCACTGGGTATGTATCTAAAATACTTTTGATGATTGAATCTATTATAGGTCTTGTGTCATCATTACCCCAGTGCCGCAAAGGCTCCCACCTACGGTGGGGTAGGAGAGGGGGGGGGTCAGATGTACGCAGTCTTACCCCTGTACTAAAGCACAAAGAGACTCTCTCCGGATGTAACCTGTTGTGGACATATTCTCCTCCTGTGTCTTCCAGAAAAATATCCACAATGTTATTTTTCAAACAACATTTATTCTGAAAACAAATAGAGCCCTCATATTAAGATGAGAATATAATACATTACTAGCTTTTTTGGATATAAATTTCTCGAAGAACATGACACTTTACAAATTTTCCAATATTTCGATTCATTTTTGTGCACAGTTTGATTTGCTTTACTGAATAAGATACTTCCCTTTACTCATGCATCTGACATGCCACTCAACAGGTGGACATTTTCTCCTCTATCAAAAGAAAAGCTGCTGGCTGTAAGTTTTTTTACATTTAATTATCATTTCTTTATTATACGGAGTAGCTCCTTTTGTAATTTGGAAAGTACTAGTAAAATAAAATATTGCAAATAGGAAGGAAAGAGATTGTGGAAAATTAAAAGATTGGCTCTAGTTCAATAAATTTGCAGCATATATTTTCATTTATTTATTTATCCCTATTATATAATGAGTAAACATTAAAACATTTAAATTTATCTAACTTTTAAAAAAAGATACTGGTATCCCATATTTCATTTTCTGTTGCATTTTCCATGTTAAAGCCAAACATAAAACATACTACGTAATTTTCATCGACCTTTTTCACCTCCCTAGTAAATTTGGGGCTCCAAACATATCATAAGGATCAGTTTGGAACCCATAAGTACTGAAGAAATAAAACAGAGAGGAAAATGAGAAGGAAGAAAATCTTAGATAGAATAAGACTCGAATTTAATAAAAATCATTTTGCATACATGATCAATCTTATCCATATACTTATCTCTGTTGCATTAGAACTTAAAGATTCTAAATGTATGATTTTTTATGTATAGAAATCAATATCATGTTTCAGATTGATAAGGAAATTCGACATTTGGTCCTTGAAATCAATATGATGTTTCAGATTGATAAGGAAATTCGACATTTGGTCCTTGAAGTCTTTTCTCAATCCTCTTGTTGGTTTTGCAGGCACTTGGAATAGCTATTGGGACTTATAGAAAATACAAAACATCATGGGAGGGATTAATGAAGAGGGGAATGGAAAGGGACTGTTCATGGGAAAATGCTGCTGTTCAATATGAGCAAATCTTTGAATGGGCATTCATGGATCCCCCGTACGTTCGATGGCCTAACTAGAATAATCTTTTATATACCAGAAGACCATGGGAAGATCTCTCGATTTTGTTAAATCGGCGCACAAGATTCATACTTCACCCCAAGTAGCAATGACTTATGGTGCTGCTAGCCTGCTAGTAATAATCTTTATGCAATTGGGTAATTCTTTCATTTGTGTTTTTTTTCTTTATGCGGCAGAGTTTTACCTGAAGTTTTATAGTTCTAGCATGTTGAAAGATGAATCAATGTTTTTTTTTTGTTTATTTACAACACAGATCAAATTTATGTAACAACCCATTGTAAAAGAATCACCATTACGTGACTGTTTGGTCCTATATATAGGTTGAAATGGTATATCTATTTAGTTTACCAACTGGTTTACAAACTCATTCGAGGATCAAATCAAAATTTTACTCTCCGCTTTCATAGACATAGAGAGTTTCGATCAAAAAATATAAAAGTCACCGACTATTTATGTAAAGTAAGAGTTAAAACTTAAAGGCAAGGTAAAACATATAGATAATAGATACTCCGTAGAGTATATGACAAGGAAAAATATGTTTTTATTGTGTATGTAGACAATTCATCAATAAAGGTTAGAAATTATCTATACACAAAGATGTGTGTGAAATGTGTACAAAAACTGTGTACATTGAACATCCCTTGTATGATAAAAGATGTGTAGAATGAGTATAAACATTCGTTTCTTAAGTGGGTATCATTCTTTTTAGCAAAAATGATTCTAATATACCTTAATTGTGTCTCCCCTCAACCTTGGTCTTTTTCACCTATGAGCTTTAGAATAAATGCAGAATTTGGGTAAATACATACATCTCATACGAATAAGTTAGATAAATAGCTCTAAGTTTCTGTTAAAAGTGTACCTCTTCGTTTCAGGTTAAGTTTCTCACTTGCCTCCCTTGAATGTCCTGACTCATCATTAAAGCTTTTCATTTCTATTTTAGAAAATAATTAGCACTCACATGAAAAATTAATCATCAAATATTAAAAGTAATATATCTAGAACAACACAATTATCATCAGTGACACTATTATATTATACTCCTTCCGTCTCATTGGACTTTATGAACTTTTCTTTTTTGTTTTTTAAAAAATATTTGTCATTTTCCCTTTTAAGCGATGAATTTTTGGCTTTGTTCATTTCTCTATCATCTGCATAAACCCCAATCATACAGTTTTTATTTTTCTAATTTCTCACTCAACATAAAGTTGGCAAAGTTGAGTGGAACGGAGGCAATATATCTATCAAATTTATTTCTCAAAAGATCTGGAATTACCTTATTTTAAGAATTACTATCCGTCCTGGTTGATGATTCCATTCTACCTCAATTGCCACCAAGGGCGTAGCTAAGGGAGGGTCGGCCCTGGCCCCGACCCAACCCAAATTTTAAAAAATTTCTATATTTTTAATGTAAAAAATCCCGTATAAAAAAATTCAAAAATATTCTTTGTACAGTTGTACTAGCTCAATCCGCCCCGGTATCCTTGCTCTGCCCTTGATTGCCACTGTGCTGCTAATAACATGTTGACTAAGGTCTACAGCGGGAAAGTTGAATATGTTTGAATTGCATATTCAACTTAGAAGGTGATTTGATGATTTTATTCTACCTCAAGTAGTGGTTCTCCATTGCACCTTCTTCTTCAACCTCGGTTCCATTCACGATCTAGTACTACCCGGGGCGGCCCGGTATGTTGGAAGGTCTAGGGGTGGAAAATGAAAATGGGCCTAATGTTACGGAAAAAAATTAAAACCCCTTTCTATCTAAACTCACATGCATAATAATATAATAGAAATAATAATAATATTTCAATACATTTATAATATATTGTCAAACTTTATTCTATACAAATCAATCATATTATAGTATTGATGATCTTTATTTGAGAAAGTAACAATGGTAACTCTATTTGTACACCTTACCAATGTTTAAATCGTATTTAAGGAATTAACTCTATATCACCTCCTAATTTCCCCTCCAATGGTTTAAACATTATGAATCATTTTACTTTTAGTAGCTAAATTGTTGTTCTTCTATTAGCTCTCATCTTGAAGAGGGCATTCAGAATTTAACTTCTTTACACAAACAAACATTTCCATTAAACACTTTTTATTTAGCGCCGCTTTTTCTAAGTGTCTCCTCTTTTTTATTTATCTTATTTAGATTCAATCCTTTTTATTACACCTTAAATTAATTAAATTTATAATTTTGTCATAATTCAAAATGTTGTCTAACAAAATCAACAACTCATAACACCAACACTCAATAGAAAACAATCAACAATTAAAAAGTAAAATAATCAACTATGAATGGAATCAATTAATAAACTAATTAAATAACCACACCAGACTAATTTGCTTTCAAGTAGATTTTTTTTGTGAATTTTTAAGAGAATGTTTTTATCAAATGTTGATTATGTCCATAAAATTTCAGATTAAAATTCAATCGTGTAGTCAATTAAATAAAGTATTGAAAAATTGTGGGCCAAAATATGTATAAAAACGCAATGTTTTTCAATAGTTTATTTAGCTGACTTCGAAATTGAACTTTAAACTGATTCTTTTACATAATCTACACTTCATAGAGAACATGATCATAAGTTCTCACCAAACAAAATCCATTCTGAAGAAGTTTAACAAGTTTCAACCGAAAAATTGTTAGTTTAGGGCTGAAAAATCAGTCCACACCTATTACAAAAAACTAAATTTGGGCATATTTTTTACCCACTTTTTTGGACCTAGGGCGCCCGCCGCCCCTGGGGACTACATGATTACATCCATCCTTTTGAAGGGGAAGAGATAGTTTCTTCTTGGACTATGATAAAGTTTACAAAAGTGCTACTTGCATAAGCTGACTTACACATCATTTACAAGCCAAGTGTGTTTTCTTTGTGCACAAACAATTGATTTTCATTTTAATAAAATCAACTGTCTATTCAACAAAGTGTATGTGACTCGAATTGTCTGTGTATCGACAATTCACTTATTTCAGTTTTCTGGAATCACATAAGTTCTTTATAAAATGAAAATCAATTTGTGTTGCTTACGTACAAAGGAAGTGTTTGCAATAGCTTCTGATTTAAAAAAAAAGCACTTTTGGGTGATTTGGAAAAAGTGATTAGTTGTAAAAGTTGATAGTATTTGAAAAAAAGTGATTTTGAAAAGTAAAAGTTAATAGTGTTTGGTAAAACAAGTGCTTTTGGTATATAAAAAGGGGAAAAACACTTTTGACAAGAAAGCCGAGAAAAGTAAAAAATTGATAATGATTGGTAAATCAGTGTTTTTTAAAATCAAAAGTTGAAAAGTGCCCTTTTTAAAGCGGTTAAGCCAAAATACATTTAGTGAAAATGTTTCTCTCATGGGTTTCCTTCTACCTGTCAACTTTCAAATTGTGGTGGTCCATAGACAGACACTAGACAGGTTCCAAAGTTACAAGACGTGTGTGGCATCCTACATACGGACCATATCATTTACTGATTGAAAAAACACAAATGAAAAACAGTCAAATTTTTGTCTCCCGTCTTTCTCCGACTATGGCCTGTTCACAGCTCATCTCCATGCTCGGAGATAACAGGTCGATCTCCCCCTCTCTCCTCCTCCTCCTCTAGCCCTAATTACCTCCATCTCCTCCCTCTACAATTATTATAAGCATCCATTTCTCCTCTCCTGATTCCACATTTCACCAACATGAATGAATCTCATTGATTCATGCATTTTAAATGTATATATGTATAGGAGCAGGCAGACCTGTGTGTACAGCTTGGATCTCTAGGTAGCGGAAGGTTTTCTCTGTCGTGTCTTTTTTTTTTTTCTGTGCCCGCGTTTCGATTCGGGTCGGATTTGTTTGGGGATTCGAAGTATGATTTCGGATCCGAGATTGGTCCACTACGCCTGCGTTGCCAAAGACGCCACCGTGCTCGCCGAGTTCAACTCCAATGACGCCGATCTCGGAGCTCTGGCGGTCGGATGTCTCGAGAAAACGCCGCCGTTTCATTCAATTTACACGCACACCGTCCGCCGGCGCACCTACACCTTCCTGATTGAGAGCCCGTTCGTCTACTTCGCGGTTTTCGACGAGAAGCTGGATAAATACGACGGCGTGGACTTCCTCAAGGCCGTCAAGGAGGGGTTCGAAGCCTTCGTCGGAGGGAGATCGGCTAAGAAGTGCGACTCGCATTGTTTCCAGGGAGAGTTCAACCCGGTTTTCCATAACCTGCTCGCTTCGATGGCGGAAAGGGAGGAGCCTCCTCCGCTTTCGCCGAGGAAAATGAGCCACGAGAGCAGCGGCAGTACAGAATCCCTGTGCGGGTACAGAACAGGGACGACGCCATTGTTCAATGAGACTACAAATTACTTGAAGAAGAAGAAAAAGAAGAGGCTTCTGGATGGGGAGAACGATGATGCTTCCGAATTGAGCAGGGAGTTCTCGGTGCCAATGCACAAAAGCGCCGCGTTTTCAGGCGAATTGGGGTACCAGAGGGCGAAGAGAGTTTGGAAGAGACATGTGTGGGTGGTTTTGGCGCTGGACCTGATTGTCTGCATCATTTTATTCATCATCTGGCTTTGGGTTTGCAGGGGTTTGAAGTGCATTGATGGCTGAACATATTTTTGATTGATCTCAATCGTTTTTTTTCATCTCGCATTGGTTGAACATGCTTTTTTCCAATGCAGAGTTGTGTTTGCTGAATCATGATGGATTTCCCCAGTACAACCTTTTTCTTATATGATGCTGTATCTTGTGAGCACATATAATTGGATTTATCTTATGTAATATCATTATCATTGAGACTGCATTTGCAGATCTATGTAATTGTAATTCCACATTGTATGAACTTAATTTAATGACACTTTTGAGTGCATCTTTGGTATCTTGCAGTAGCTACTTTTTGTTGCATACAAGTTGGGTTGAATATTTCAAATCACTTTTTTAAGAAACTTTTACACAAATAATGAAATAGAAACCCATTCTTATTACCAAATTTGTGATTCATGTAAATAGCCAAGGATCTTAATACAAGAACATCACTTTCTTTTGAAGGCTGCTCTGCAATTGAAGAAGCATGCTTCAAAAAGACAGTTTAGGATTCTCTACCTTTACAAAGGCAGAACAAATTACCAAAAGGCAAAAGCATATTATTCCCCGACATCTTTCTCAACTCTGTAATTAGTTCCTTTGATTTGTTGATCGGAGCATTCAAATTGCCCGGGCACATGTCTATAGCTTTGGCAATTGGTAGATGCCCTGAACCCGTCTCCTTAACCTTCTGAATGGAGAAGGTTTGGAACTTTTAGATTAGAAGATTGTACCATCTTTACCTGTACAAAGTAACAAACACCTTTAACCGAGAAATTAAGAAAAGTTTCCACCAGTGGCCACACAGACCCACACTTATCAATTTCTT